CCTTTAACAGTACCATGAGCGCCTGCGAGAAGGCTGGGCAGTGGCAAGTTGCCCTCCAGCTATTCTCTTGGATACCCAAGTCCAAGGCTCTTCCTGACATAATTAGCTACAATAGCTCTATCAGTGCATGCGAGAAGGGTGGCAAGTGGAATCTTGCACTGCTGCTCTTGTCAGACATGCTTGAAATCAAAGCGCAGCCCAATGTCATCAGCTTCAGCAGTGCGATCAGCGCCTGCGAGAAGGGAGGGCAGTGGCACATGGCTCTTCATTTGCTTGACAAGATGCCGACTTGTCGCGTGTTGCCTAATGTGATTACGTACAACAGTGCGATCAGTGCATGTGAAAAGGCAGGGAGGTGGCAGATTGCCCTCTATCTGCTGGAGCACATGCCGTCGCATCTTGTATGCCCAAATGAAATCACGTACAACAGTGCAATTAGCGCGTGCGACAAGGGTCAGCGCAAGAGCAAGGAGGAGCATCGTCTGCAAGCCAGAAAAGATGTAGATGCCGACCTACCCCTTTCAATGCTGTGGAACGTCATGACCTTCCCATGTGCCCTCTAGGAATTGACTAGGCACACCGGCATACCGGATTGAATGCCTATACGACGGTGGAAGGTAGTGCGAGAGGTTCAGGGCAGTTTGGGGATGTTGGCAGCCGCATACTCACATCATATGAAGCTGGATCGGTTCATGCACGCCTATGCCTTGTGGGTAGGGAATCACCAAGCCGTTCAGATGCCAGCCGTACGCCCGACACGTGTTACCTAGCTGCAACAAGAATCGGAAGTTAGAGGATCCATCGCAACAGCCTATAGGATTGTGCTCAGACCGCAAAATTCATCCCCAACATGCCATGTGTTTATCATGCAAGCTTCTTTAGTTCTTGCATCAGCTGGCAAGAGTGTAAGAAGGCACAGCAGGAATGCCACCACAAAGATGTTTATGGCAGGCTCGTCTGGGTGGAGGTTGAATACATGTTTCTTGACTTAAATAGCCTCCGGTTGACAACGCTGATCATTCAGGTGGCTCGAGTCGAGCTTTGGCCTAGGTCCTAGGTTCTTCTTCTTTGCTTGGAGTCTGGCCGGTAGGCCCTATGGGTAGACATATGCAAGAGTGGGCTGCAAGGAATCGGGTGCTGTTGGAAGATTGGAAAAAGGAGCCACAGCACGCGGAGCAATTCCTGAAGAGATCTGCTGGCAAGCCGCTGTTGTTGGTTTCAATTCTGCACAGTATGCTTGCTTTCCAAGTCAAAGTATCCGTCTGGCATTATAACGCGGCGATCTCGAGGTGTAGAGAGCCAGATTCGTGGGAGCTTGTGCTGCAGGTTCTGGATTGGATGGGGACGCACTCCATCAGTCCAAACACAATTAGCTTCAGCGCTGCCATCAGCTCTTGCGAGAAAGGGTCCCAATGGCCGATGTCTATGCTGCTCCTACATCAGATGCCAGCTTCCGGGGCTCCGCCAAACGAGATCACCTTCAACAGCTGCATAAGCTCATGTGTTGGGCAGTGGCAGTGCGTGCTGAACTTGCTGTCTGTAATGCCAGCGGCTCGGGCATGTCCCAACAGAATCACCTATGGTAGCGCCATCAGTGCCTCCGGGCAATGGCAGGTTGCTGTGGAGCTGTTGGCCAACATGATCGCTGCCAACGTGGTGCCAGACGTGATCTGCTACAACTGCACCATCACTGCATGCGAGAAAGCTGGACACTGGCAGCTTGCGGTGCAGGTGCTGGCAGACATGCTAGCCGCAGGTTGCCAGGCCGACGTCATTACCTGCAGCAGTGCGATCAGTGCTTGCGAGAAGGGTGAGCAATGGGAGCTCGCCGGGCACCTGCTAGTGAACATGGCTGCAGAGCAGATCAAACCAACCGTCATAACCTACAGCGCAGCTATCAGTGCATGCGAGAAATGTGGGCAGTGGCAAATGGCCCTTCAGCTACTACTGGACATGCATAGGGCAAACATCGATGCTGATGTCATCGTCTACAGCAGCGCCATCAGCGCCTGCAAGGAAAGCGGTCAGTGGCCGGTTGCGCTGAAGCTTCTGGGGGACATGTGGATCATCCAGCTTACGCCCAATGAGATGAGCTACAACGGTGCCATCAGCTCTTGTGAGACGGGCGGGAAGTGGGAAGTGGCAATCTACCTTCTGCGGCAAATGCTGGAGCAACAGCTGGTTCCTGGCATCATTACATACAGCAGTGCCATCAGTGCCTGTGGAACTGGCAGGGAATGGCAGCGTGGCCTGAAATTATTTGAAGAAACCCCCAGCAAGCGCGACGTCATCAGCTACAACAGCACTATCACAGCTTGTGAAAAAGGAGGAGAGTGGCAGTTGGCTCTCCATGTATTGTTAAGCATGCAAGGCGAAGTATTGCCAGATGCAATCTCTTACAACAGCGCCATCAGTGCTTGTGAGCGGGGAGGGAAGTGGCAGATCGTCTTGAAGCTCTTGGCTTGCGCAGTTGCTGCCGTTCACCCTAGCGTGATAACGTACAACACGGCCATCGCTGCCTTTGCCGAGGCCTCGCACTGGCTGCTGTGCTTGCAGGTCCTTGCTGAGATGAAAGCAGCTGAAGTGGAGCCAGACGTCATTACTTACAACAGTACTATTGTCTCATACGACAAGAAAGGCCAGTGGGAAGCAGTGTTGGACCTTCTTCGAGTCATGGATTCAGAAGATATGCTGCCGAATGTCATAACTTTTTCCAGCGCCCTCAGTGTTTGTGAAAGAGCGGCGCGCTGGCAGCTCGCTCTTCAGCTGCTGGCGAACATGCAAAGCAAAGCCCAAGTTACACCCAATGTCACTTGCTTCGACAGCGTGATCGGCGCAGCCAGCGCGACCGCTGAGGCCTTGCCACAGCTACCGGTTCTGTTCAGGCGACTCCAACTGCTCCAGGAGGACTGGCGGACCTGGTCCCTTGTGCGGGGTTGCGAGTAAAACAAAGCTCGGCAACTTTGTCACACCCTTCCTGGTGCTTGAAGTCAGACAGGAGCCTTGTTGACTTACAGATTTCACCTGCGGTCCCTTCGGGCTTGCTCAAGCCTGTAGGCTTGTAGCCACACTGCATTGAGCAACGCTACCTGGATCGTGGATCTAGCTGCATTTGGCTAGGCGAGATGCCTAGACTAGATGAACCCTTCAGTTCGCAGAGAACATAGCTTTCCAACATGCTGCTCAGTTGTCCCACTTGGCCCTTGCCAGAGTGATGGAAGGCCTTGCAGGATGTCAAGGGCAAACGGCCAACAACATGTATGGATTAGAATTGACAACTATGGCTTTTGGCAGGTTTGCTTGTTCCTTGTTTTTTTGCAATCAGCCTTGTTTCTACAAGCATTGCTGCAGCTGTTGTAATGGTGCATTGGTTTAGCACTCCAGAAACATGTCATACTCGAATGCAATGGAATCTAGGTTTTGTTCAGTACGCTGTTTGCTTCCACTTTCGCAAAAGGCAAAAGGGCTGATCCAAGTGAAGCCATCCTGCGCAGCTGAAGATACCTTCAATCTCATCTTGCGCAGATAGCCTGCAGCCGGAAGTACCGCTCCGGTACCAGGCCGGCCGACTGTTCTGTTATCCCAAATTGGGTCCTCTTGATGTTTTTTCAGACGTCCTCTGGAGCGCCCTTGAACTTCCTGCGGTTTTGTTCGGGCTCTCGACGCCCCTTGCTTGCCGCATGCACCCGGTTCTCAAGCCTCATGTCAGTGTGTGCTGGACGGTTATGCATCTTGCGATGGGTCAGATGCTATTTCCTAGATGCAGCTCATGCGCTTCGTATATGCCTAGATCCAGACAATGTGCAAACAAACCCTTACAACAAGGCTATCCTACGTGGATTGGAAGGGTTGGGTGAGGCCTGGGCAGATTTGCTTGCGGCAATTGCAGATTGGTTGCATTTGGACATGAAGCTAATGAACCATCAAGATCTCCAGTCTGCCCAAGCAGGCGCACCTAGACCACCCCGTTCTCCAGCGCGCCGTTGCCGGGGCCTTGGAAGTTGGGCGCTGAAGTGTCAAGGGGTGTTAGGAGAACTTAGGGTTCCGATGCTCAAGATAGAAATGATCGCCAAAGCAATGGTGTTGCCGCCTGGTGGCTCATTAGGAAGACGAGTAGGGCCGCTGTTGTCATGGCAATGAGGGTTTCTCCTTTAAACTTGCTGTGCAGGGGCCACAGTTTCTGCCGCAGCGGCTGTGAACCCGACCTGTGGCTTTGTTCGCTGGCATGTCAGGCAGCATGTGGATGCCGTTTCAAGCCCCCGCCTGTTGTAGCAGGACTAAGGGCGGCATTCGGTTTTGCAAGGAGCTGCAACAAGCCCAAGCCATGCGCGCGCAAGCTCGCGCATGGGCTGGCGCAAGAACAAATCGTGCTTCATACCTGTCAGTGAACTATGCGTATATATGCATAATTATGCATACACTATGTTGAAATTTAAATTCCGACCTGCACAAGGTGGCGTAAAGGCGGACGCAAGGAAATCTAGCGCTGCGGTATCAATACTACAGTTTAAACTGCGGCCTTGTGTGCAGGATGTAACATGAGCAATTGTATCTTTGCATTTATGTATTCATTTGATGTGCAGACGGCTTGCCAGAGTTTTTCCAGGCGGCTCATGTTGCGCGCTGGGAGTTTTGATGATGCCGGGGAACAGCCGAATAATGCTGCGAAGAGCATCTGCAGACGTTTTCAAGAGTTTTCATGCCAGGCGTGAGCGGTGGCAGGCTGTGGGCATCGGAAGTGTCTTGTCCGCGACTATCTGCCTTCAAGCTCATCGCGTGCTTTTGATCAGAAGACCTTTCTAAGAGAAGAATCTCCAAACCATCTGGGTTCAGATTCGTGGATGCTCAAGGGGACATTTGCAACGCAGCCTAAGCCCCCATCTGCACCCGCAATTTCATGCCTGCCTCAGATGACCAATCCTGCAATTTTTCCACCACCGAAGACTCCGCGGAGACGCGGAAGAGGCTCGATCCACGATTGCGGCACAGTAGGCCTGGATGTTTCTTTATTAGTCGGCGCATCAAAACATATTTTCCAGCGGCCTGCTCTGCCCCACCACACGGTGCTCTTCTTCATGTCTTGTCCAGCCAGCCGAATCAAGAAACCTTTCTTCACTTTAGGATGCAGACTTATTCTCGCTGTTCTGGCAGGCACTAGTCGCTGGAAGAAGCTTTGCTGGCAAGCTGCAACCACCCTGAATTTCAATGAAGCCTTCAACCAAGAGCTTATCATAATATAGTGTCGGAGGTGGTAGATGTCACTTGATTTGGGCCAGGCTTCGAATGGAAGCCATGCGACAGCGTCAGCAGGCACTGTCCTGCAACGGTCCTGCCACAAGTCGTGGAACTTGCTCGCTATGCTTGCTCATGGAACCTAAAGAGCGGCCGCACTGGGCCAGCCTCACAACAACAGACCATTGAACTTTCGCCAAGCAGGCTTTGATGCGACGAATGCAGCAGCAACAGAGTGCTGCCGTGGCTGCAATGGACGAGACCAGACAAGGTCTGGAGTGAAACGATGACTGTTACAGAAGTTCACGACAGGCCTTGGACGTAATGTTTTGCAGGTGTCCTGGACGAAGAGGATGAGGTATATGCGGAGGACTGGGCTCCTCTGACAGCGCTTTGCCGAAAACAAATTGTCCTCCTGAATTATGTACTAGATGACATCGCAATTTTTACATCTCTTGTGGTAAAGAGTGCTGCCTCTTGAGCTGGGCGCCGCTTGGGCAGGGAAATAGGGAGTTGATGGGAGCTTTGTGCGCCTGCAGTCCTGAGTTCGGACTGGATGTTCCCTGGCTGTGACAAACCACACCGAAGACTTCTGGTTGGCAATTACTGAAGCCCAATGCAGTCACAACAGCTCGATTGCCTCACAACGACGGTCAACAAACCTGGACCAGATGGAAGCCTCCATCATCCACAGAATCCAGGCAGTGCCTGAGGAGTCCCAGGCATTGGAATGCGACGCTATCCTGAATGACTATTCTGATAGTACTCGATGGCCACTTACACTCTGGCTCCTTGAGCAAATGCCTGTCAGCAGCGTTTCACCGACAGTTATCAGCTTCAGTTGCGTCATCAAGGCGTGCAGGCTTGGAAATCACTGGCACGGAGCTCTCCACTTCTTGGAGATCATGGCACCCAACAACGTAAGCGCCAATGCCATCAGCTTCAACACGACCATCAGCTCCTTTGACAGTCAGTGGCAGTCGGCCTTGCAACTGCTGACCAGAATGTCCAATGCTCGCATATCGTTAAGCATCATCAGCTGCAATGCTGCTATTTGCGCACCAGCAAACTGTGGACACTGGCAGGCAGCTTTGGCGCTGGTGAGAACCTTGCTGCTGTGGAAGATGTCAGCAGATACGATCACTCTCAGCACTGCTGGCACTGCTTGTGAGAAAGGCCGGAGATGGGAGTCCTGCCTGGCCTTGTTGGCTGAGATGCCTGCTCGAAGAGCAGTGCCTAACGTGATTTGCTACAGCAGCCCAATTATGGCCGCTCGGAGCTCCTGGAACTGGCCAACAGTCTTAAGCTTAATGTCAGACATCATCACTCATGCTCTGTGTCCCAGCCGCCTTGCATACAACTCCGCCATCGCAGCATGTAAGCGTGGTGAGAGTTGGCCAATGGCGCTTGTGCTCCTTTCCGAAATGTTTCTGACAAGGATTCATCCGCGTGTGGTCAGCTACAACAGCGCTATTACAGCCGTTGAAGTTCGATGGGAAGTTGCCGTAATGCTGCTCAGAAACATGCGCCTGAAACGAATTTGTGCCAACACCATCACATACAACAGTGTACTCAGCGCATGCGCGAGGGGCTCGGCGTGGCAATTGGCAAGCTACTTGCTTGTCAGCATGCCTATGCTAAGCGCAGAGCCAAATCAGAGAAGCTTCAATACAGTGATCAGTGCAGCTGAGAAGGGGGATCATTGGGAGCACGCAGTTCTGGTGCTACAGGCGATGCAGTCCGCCAGCATCACTGGAGACATCATCACATACAGTACCTTAATAAGTGCGTGTGAGCGTGGAGCCAGCTGGGCATGCATCCTGCAGCTGCTTTCAATGATGGAGCGCGGTTCACCTGATGCCATTGGCTACAACAGTGCCACAAGTGCTTTTGAGTCTGTAGCGCGATGGGACCTGGCAGCTGAGCTGTTGATAAAGCAGCTGATGCGAAGAGAAGCTCCTGATGCCGTCGGCCTGTCTAGTGCCGTCCGAGCATGTGGCCGCGGTTTTCAATGGCCAATGGCAGTACACCTCTTCGCAGATATGCCTTGTGGGCACATGAGGTTGGATGTCATCAGTTACACAAGTCTTGCAAGCGCCTGCGAGAGCACGGCGGGTAGGCAGTTCTTACCGTGGTTGCTGGACAAGGCAACTGCCTCCAGTGTTTCCGAGCAGCGAGCCATGCGTAGCAGCATGGTGGCCCGTTCTTTTCAGAATTTCTCGATTTGTCGCGCGGGTGTGTGACACGATTTGGGGCAGGCTGCATGGCTTCAGAAAAGCAAGGACGACGAGCCTGGGCAAAGGTCAGATTGCACAGCACAGCAATACTTTTCGGAGGATCTAGTATCTCTATTCCTGCTGCAAGGTCCGGGGAATGGATGAACACCTCCTGTGTGTAGCGATAGACTCCCGAATCAGTGTCAGCTTTGTAATCAGGATCTTTAAAACTTACACTGCCTCCTCACCTGCCCATCAGTCATCGTCATCTTCTGGCAGGGGTTATTGACGTTGCTATTTTTCGTCAGAGTCTCGCGTGCGTTGCAGCTTCCGACTCCCTTTCCAGGACCCAGACGCGTTGTGGCAGCCCGGTACTCAGCAGGGTGTGCTTCAAAGATATTTTGGGCCATCCGCTGCAAACCTTTCAGCACACAAAATAATGTCAATGGGCTTCTGTGACACCTGTTGTGCTGGCAAGGTGCGCCACGTGCCGCGAGGATAGCGGCTGAGTTCAGTTGTTGGCTTGCGCAATAAAGCTCCTCACGTCATGGGCACCCTTTGACCCTCTGCCAAGCACAACTCATTTCGAGCGCCAGCTTTCACATGATTGGATCATGTAGGCTTGCATGGTTGCACTTCGAAAGAGAAATGAGCTTTGAATTGCAAAGGCAGGAACTCCCGACAATCCGCTGGCAATGTTGGCTGCAGCCGGGCCACCCAGCAACTCTGATCGCTGCTTGTACATTCTGAAGGTTAATTGATTCCGAGAAGATAGTTATTCATGCTTGCTGGTGGCAGAGGACGCAATTGTGTGGGCTGAACGTCCTCTAAACGGCCCCTCAGCCCAATACAAGTGGCTAGAATTCGGCGCAAGTGTTTCCACAGTTCCGATTTGGCGTTTAAGTTTAAGATTGACAGCCTTTCCGTATGCAGAACCAGGGATTGACCTTGGATTTTCTGGTTTAAGATTGCATGTCCAAGCGTGGGTTCACAAACAACGCGCGTGGTTGAGAAGCTTCAAGCTGCTATGTGTCTAGGCACTTGCCCCTCAAAATCTGAGCATCTGTTGTAGGAGCTAGCAGCTAGCATTTATGTTGCGTTTGCCAAGGTAACAGCCGTTTCTCAACGCGTTTGCTGGCATCAGGAAGTGTCTACACTGTAACTTTAAAGGGGTCCACTTAGTGCCTCAGCTCCAGACATGGCCTCGCAAGAAACAGACCTGCTGGCCACTCCAGCTGAGCACGTTTTTGCTAGCCAAGCCTCCGCTACATCCCAATCCGAGTCTCGCCCTACATAAATCCAAACACCGTCAACCACCTAACCACCGGTGAGATGTTTGAGAACGGTGTTTCGTGGTGTTTGGTTTCATGTAGTCGGAGACGTCAGGTGCTTGGATCCGGTTTCATGCTTGGATTTAAGTGCGTCAGGTTCGCAGTTCGTGTCTGGTCTACTTGGGGCTCAAACAGGAAGCTAAGAGCTTGTACTCACTACAGGCAAAGTGCCAAATCCAGTAGCCCAGAAGCAGTGAAACCACAAAACAGATGTCATGTCATGGTTATTCTCAAGCAAGTCATGCACGCTCGAAAGCCACTCTTCCAGTTTGCTCTAGTGCAGTCTGTTGTGCAACGAATGTGCCCTGGTCGAGGTTGTGCCTGCGCAGCCCAAATCCAGCTTTCGCGGCGGTCTCCCAGGCCCATTTGACACGCGTAGAGGCTTTTGCAAGAAATCGAAATTCCTATCCAATGTGTTCGGGTGCTCTAAAGGACCTTCGTACCATAATTGGTTAGATTAAGGTAGGAGCTCGTGACCATGCAGGTTTGTCATGCAATGAGGACTTGGATCCGCATTTGCCAGAGAAAGTATCACGCGATCAGCATTTGACCCTGTGATCTCAGGCTGCGCTCGTTTCACATCTTGCCGACATCTTGTGCATGTGCCTGGCTCAAATGGATGGCAAAGAAAAAATGTACCTGTGTCTCGTGGGTTCCTGGAGTTTGACAGACGCGTTATGGAATGCGGCAGATGCGGCAACTTTTGCAGACCTTACTTAAGTCATGCAGTTCTGTCTTGTCTTGGCTGTTCATAGGTGCAGCGGCCCGCATTTCGATTGGCCCAGTTCATAGCTACTCAGCCTGTCCTCTTGTTCCCTTTCTGGCTAGGCTTCTTGAGAGTTTGCGATGCTGACAAGCTTCGTGCATCGCACATGCATCGCTTTTGCAGTGGTGCTTTTTGTTGCCGCACGCGCCCAAGACACTTGTGCGGCTTGCGCGCAGGAGGACTCCGTTTTCCTGCAAGCCCAAAAGCGAGGCGCGAGCCAAGAAGGCACCGAAGGCACCCAAAAGCCAAAGATGCAAGGAAAGCACCAGGTCCTCATGCCCAAGCCACTTTCACATTCGCATGGTGATGCGGTGATGCGTGTAACACCATCCTGGCTGAGAATGCTACCGGAACTTGTCCCGGCGGGTGAGCCGCGGAGAATTGTGGAAGCACAGCTTTTGTCACGATTGCCGCCAGAGTCTTTTGAGTCTGAGTCAGAGCCGCAGGAAGATCCCGAATTCAGCGTGAACTTCTCTCACAACCTTGATGGCTGGAGGGGCTGGGACACTTGGCAGCCCATGCGCGAAAGGAAAGAATCCTACGGTCTTATTGTTAAGCCAGACGGGATCTCACTTTCCGTTGAGGGTCCCTGGGGATTTGCAAACGCAATGTCAACTCTGTATCAGCTGATGGATATCAAAGTACGGCGAGAGGAGGTTGTGATCACGATTCCTGGCTGCCCACATGTCATCGAGGAGGATGAACCAGCTTTCGCGCATCGCGGCTTCTTGCTCGATGTCGCACGCCAGTGGTACTCGGTACCTTGGATCAAGGGACTGATAACCGCGCTCTCAGAGTTCAAGCTGAATGTGCTTCACTTGCACCTCACCGACACGGCTTCATGGCCGCTCGAGATTGATGGCTACCCTGAGGTTGTTCAAACGCTTGCTTTCCGCGACAACAACGGAGTACCACTTTCATACTCCCGTGCCGACATTCGGGAGCTCGTGGAATTTGCGCGGCTACGTGGCATGTCGATCATGCCAGAGATTGATGGCCCCACGCATGCACCAGCACTTGCATCTGGGGATCCCCTGCACCTGACAGTGGCCGCCACGGTGGAGTACTCCACGGAACAGTTTGCCGTCGAGCCACCGGCAGGCACGTGGAATCTATCCGACACCCATGCCATGCAGTTTGTCAGGAAGGCCCTGCAGCAGGTAGAAGAGGACAGTAGCTGCCATTTGAGTGTGCTGTTGTGTCGGAGAGAAGTGAATACCTGCAGCCATGCGAGTCAAACGTGCCGCTGAGGACTTCAGCACCATGCCGTACCTGCACCTTGGAGGCGATGAGCCCGTCGCAGCCTCCCTCTGTGCTCTGCTGCCAGAGGTTGAAAAATTGAAATGTTGGGAGCAGTGTCCGTCTCCATGGTCACCAGGTTGCAGTCCTGTTCCAGTGAAGCCGCAGGATGCCCGTGAGACCTACTGGTTTCCTGAAGTGCTCAATGAGAAGGTGCAGGGATATTTTGATTCCGTCGACCCTTCACCTGCCAAGGTTCCCAGGGCTGTCTGGTCGGGAGCTGTTGCAGACTGTGGTGTGCAGCTTCCCCCCACCCACCTGAAGAGCAAGTCTGCGCTGCAGCTGTGGGAGTTTCCGGCAGATTCCTCTGGCCGGCCTATGCTGTCAGAAGATGACTGTCAGAAGTATGACTTGCTGCAGAGTGCAGCCACATATCCAGAAGGAGACTCGTCTTATGGTTGGCTCTACATGGACTGTGGCTCCGGTGCAAACTGGATATCCATGGGCCCGGATTACTGGTGTCCACGAGCTTCATGGGCCGCGCTTTACTCGCTGAATATCACGCAGGGCTACGGCCCCATCGAGACCCCCACATGTCAAAAGGCCTTTCTGGGTGGCGAGATGGCGCTGTGGTCTGAGATTGGAGGCATGGGTAATGCCATGAGCCTGATCTTTCCTCGTGCTGCCGCTTTCGCAGAGCGCATGTGGAGCAATCCGCAGGCACTGAAGACAGAGGAGATGAAGGGTGGCAGGCCTCCCGGCTGGTACTGGGAAGCACACCTGCGTGATGCCATGGAGAGGCTGAACATCGTGGTTTCAAACTTTGACATGCTACAGGTGGCAGTATCACATTTGCAGCCGGAGTTCTGCCGGCTCCATCCAGAATTCTGCAACGCCTACACGGCTTCCTTGTACTGACCACGTCAGCCGCAGTGAATGAGCATAGGCCAACAGTGCCTGCTCAAAGTGAGAGTTTTTGCTGTGGGTCAGACCTGCATCCTGCCTCTCATCCTCAATTGCATGGTCTGCTTCGGTGTGCGAAGCAACAGCGGAAGGCGGGTGCAGGACGACCACCAGGGTTCCAAGTGTTTAATATATTATGATGTTTTGTTTCTTTTGTGGCGTTGGAAGCCACATTTTTGCACAGTGCACTCACGCGCTGGCGCCTTAAGGAAAAGGGACAGGGCCTTGCCGCGAGGGTGACGTTTCAGGCACATGCGCACAAGCATATAGCCCCTCGCGCTCAAGCCTAGTACAGACAATGTTGTGTACTTTTCCAACATCAGGTCACCTGCGGCAAAGCTCATGCACAGGATGTGATGAACCAGGCTGTGCGTGTGAGAGATCCGGCAATCTTCTCTGCAATAGAATATTAATACACATGTCCAGGCTCGCCGGTCGCAATTCTTCTTTGTGGACGCTCAGGGAGGAGAGTTTCCGTGCCCTATGCGCCTTGCCCAGTCATGACTGCGAAGCTATGATTCCTTCTTGGATGCTTGCTTGTGGGCGAAACTTGAACTGGAGAGTCCAAGAGTAGCTTTGCCGTATTTGACACCGTCATTGAGAGACGTGCAAGTTTGAATCGTACTTTTGCACGGTGATGGCTTGCAGGTGTCGCTCTGTGGCGAACTGCCTTGTCCCCTGTATTCCTGACAAGGCACGAGAGAGATCAGAAGGTCACAAGCTATTCAGTACTACTGGTAACACTTCTGGCTCCAGTGCGCGAACTTGTCAGGAGTTTCTGGAGTCCGGCGAGTCACCTTGGCCAGAGGCGCAACTCTGGGGGATGGTTGGGCAGAAAGTTGGGAGCTGGTCTGCAGCAATGTCACAGGCCTCAACAGCTCCTAGCCGCTTGCATCCACCGCCTGCTGCCTTGCGCGCTGCGCTGCGGCACTGTGCGCTGCGGGCGACCAGGGTCGAAGCTGCAGCTCCTCTGCCTCGAAAAAGAGAATTGATGACACGCCTGTGGCAGGTCAGGGGTTCCCAGTCTATGGACTCTTTTGCAGAGATGCGTAGCCAGCTTTTCACTCACACTGCTCAGGACAACCCAGATGTTCCTGAAGAAGAGAACGCAGACGAGATGGATGACTGCCGAGGCAGCCACGCTAAGAGTCGGTTTTGCTGATTTGAGCTTAGGCGCAGATTTTCCCAGGCCCAGCTCTCTCTGCCTGGTTGATTAGTGGGGCTACCGCAGAGCTCCGCGCAGCAGCAGCTCTGTCAGAAACCGAGCTGTGCTTGGTGCTCGCAGTAGTAGCTGTGCGCTGCCTGAGCAGAGAGGTTCCCAGTACAGCTCATGGACGAGGGTCCTCCAGCACCTCTATACGCGGCCCTCCTCCGTGCCGGGGCGCTGCTCAGGCTGGACCTGCTGAAGTTCAGAACAGGTCCTGAAGAGCACGCGTGGGCGATTGTGGAAGGTATGCTGCCCCAACCGTGGCACCGAAGCTTGGTGAGGCCAAGCCAAGCATGCCTCGCCCATCCTGGGTAACGACATGAGCATGGCTTCAATTCAAGGTTGTTCATGAAAGTGATAGGAGAATTTAGAATCTAGAAAAATGTCATGGGTGTACAGAGAGAACATACGCGTAAATGTTCATACCACATGAGCAGTATGGTGGTTTTGTGGCATCAAGCCCAAGATCAAATGAGCAGGCTTTTTTCGCGAGGAGTGTCAGGTACTGGCAGATGCAAAATGCCGCATCGGGTCTAGCCGCAAATGAGGTCGTCGCTTCTGCACTTACTGCCTGTCTAATATGTCCCCATCTCATAATTTCAGCTTCTGTTCTGGTCAGGTCCTTGGTTCATTAGAGGCCTCACTTCGCGAGATCCATTGAAGGTTTGTCTAGCACCTCAAGATGCCCTTGACACCCCCTTGCACTGTGCGCGTTGTCAAACCTTCCGGCTTCACAATTCACCATTGCTTGCCAGGATGGTTGGCAGCAGAAGGCCTTCAGCACAGCTTTTTATGCTGTTGTTGGCACTTCCTGGGTTTGCTTAGCTTCAGCTTTACCAGCATGCAAGCCGAAAGAACAGTGAGTACTGCCTGCTTCGTGCACGTCAGGTGCTTGGGTGGTTGAGCCAGCCACGGGAGCCATGGCTGGCGGATTTGAAGGCGCCGGTGGCTAATCCATTGCCGAACCATGTGAAGAGTGGTACCATGCCTCCAGTGAAGTATTCGGCCATTTGCAACGACATCAATGAATGATAAGCGGCTAGCGCTTTGGATTCGCAACCCGCTCCCAGAAGGCAGGTAGCGGGGCTGGAACTTGGATTGGGCCTCAGTGAGCATGGTCTTCTTAAGCCAGTCGAGTACGGCACGTTCGGGACCGGCTGCAAAATTGTTGGGCCCAAGCGATGCAGCGTCAGAAAGCCAGAAGCAGAACGTTTTAGCTGATAATCGCACTCTCAGCTCTGAATGGATCCCGACCCCTTGCCATGACGGCGGGCAGCACCAGCAAAGACCATGTGCAGAACGACCTGACTGTGGCTGGAGCCGAACAAAGCTGTGGTCAAGATAGCTTGTGTCTCTCATGACATGTTATGTTATTGCTGGTGGCTATGGGAGCCAGACTCGGGTCCACTGCCTGCAGCATCAACTCGATCTAAGGTACACTGCCGCCTCTTGCTGCATGGAGTGGTCAGGGCAACTGAAGCGCTGGTAGCCGCTTGGGCGAAAGCAGAGAGACGCTTTCCAGATCAAGTGGACACTTTAGGTACGCAAAGGCTAAGGGAAACAACAAGAGATTCATGCAGCCGAGCTGTGTATTTCATGTGTGGACTATTCATTCCCACGCCGTGCCTCCAATACAAGCATGCTTCATGTGAGATGGGAGGCGATGCCTCTCGCCCTGCTCTCGCCCTGCGTGCATGAACTCGTGGGCTGAACAAACTTCTTGGGAATTAATCTACGTCAGGCGTCCGGAGTGATTCTGCGAGCATACAAGGGAGACGTGTTGCCGCGCGCATTAGGAAAGCTTGCCATCTAGTGATTTCCGCTCCTAAGAAGTCAAGGTTCACATGGGACAGCATCTGGCGGTAGTGGCCTGCCCAGCTGGGCCAGAAGCTCAAGAACCATGACTCATGACATTTGATGCAGGGGATTGTCTTTGGTTGTGACGTCTCAAAATTCATAAGAGTAACTGCAGCTCTGGCTGACGCAGTGAGACATCTAAGCCCTGCTAAGTTTTGTACGCGGCATGTTTGGGGCACGGAGCTGTGATTTGCTTAGTTTTTGTTCATCTGGCAGTCTTATCTTTTTAAATCTGCGAACAGCTTGCATGGGCAGCTCGACAAAAAAGCGGTGAGTTTGTGAGGCTGGGTGAGATTGCGGATATCATGCAGGTGAAAGGCGGGCTTCTTTGCATGTTGCGCCATGCGCAGCTTGCAGAAGCAGACTTGGCCCACTTGAATCTTGCGTTTCACGAGGATTTTGAATGCTCGGATTACTCAGACTCTTGCGAGATACCTTCACAAGACACGCAAACTACTTGTATCTGAATCACAGCGATGCAGCAGTCATCCCCACAACATATTGCCAGGTCAAGAGGAGAAGCCTTGAACCTGGACAGCAGACAGCACAGATTTCATGAACACATCAAGAGAGCTACTGCGGAGAGCTGTTGCCAGATGCAATGCTGCGAAGCGGGCACGCGCTTCCTGCCGCAGAATCGAACTGGAGCATATTCCAATGTGGATGCGGGTGCGTCACCAAGGCGATGTGGTTTTCTTTGCGGTTGACCCTTCGCGGCTCGTGGTGGAGCCCCTTGCAGACTGCGAGCGCTTCAGGCATGAGGTTGAAGAGCAATCAGATGCATTTAAGGTTAAAGAGACAGTACGCGGTACCACCCAAGCTCTTCAGACAAGAAGACAAATTCACTTCTCAGCATTGCTCAGTTGCACTCCGGACCTGCTGGCAACTGCCACGGCTTTCCAAGAGACGTGCCTCGGCAAGGTTGATCTTGCTAGTGCCCAAAACCAGAGCGAGCACGACTCTTCACTTTTTTCTTGTTGCTGGGTCGTCGGGTCGGGCCCGATGCTTGAGACACTCGCCGCTGGCAACGTCGATTCAGGATTTCACAGCGCCGCCTTGATTCGATCTCTCTCATTTTCTTGTGACGAGAGGGTAGCCATCTGTAGCACTAATGCTCACCGACGCCACTTGGTGTGATGGATTGAGCCTTTGGCCCGAATCTTCTAGTTGCCCAAACTCTGCTCATTGCGGCAGCAGGCATTGGAACTTGTGGAAGCAGTCCGTAGGTTCGCCTGCCTCAGCCTCAGCATAAGGTGCGACGCGACTTTTGTCCCTGCTCTTCAATGCGAGGCACGGCTTTAACACATGAATTGTGAGGTTGAATTCCTAGTAAAACACATCGAGGTTAAGATCGCTGACAAACACCCCAGAATAGAACAAAAAGGAAACCCACATGGAAAATGACATAGAACACAATAGGCCGAACAATCTTGGGTTTCATCAGCATTCAAAAATTGACAGCAGCATAGAAGCACAAAATCTTGGGTTTCATCAAAATAGAAAAATGGAACAACATAGAGCACCACATCTTGGGTTTCATCAAAATAGAAAAATAGAAAACAAAAAAGATCACAACATCTTGGGTTTCATCAAAATAGAAAAGTAGAAAACCAACTACAGCACAAAATATTTCTATGGTTTTACTATTTTTCTTTTTTCTATGTTTTTCTATGTTCATGATGTTTCTATTTTTCTAGTGTTTTTTGTTTTCCTATTTTAGTTCCCCACCCTCGCAGTGGGGTTGTTAGATTTGTTGTCTTCGCCCGACTGGAAATTGATTTTAGTGACCGACTGCAGTGCCCAACCAATGAGTATCCCTGCAATGCTTAACGGATGTGCCCAAACGCAAAGTATCTCGGCAGTGCCCAACCACCAAGTATCCCTGCAGTGC